CTTGCAAGCACGTGGTCATGAGTTCGATCCCCAATACCGGTAAAAAATAAAAAATAATAAATAAATAAATAAAAAGATGAGGTCCAAGTGTTGACTTCTGTACCATTATTCACACAATCAGTGTTTTTGTTCATGAAGTCTTTGTCTACACTTTTGTCTTTAGGAATTCTACCTATTCTGTCTTCCAGCGGATTTAGAGTTTCTGTTTTAATATTTAGATTTTTTAATCAATTTTGAGTTTAATTTAGTACATAGTGATAGATATGGGTCTAGTTTTAGTCTTTCACATGGGGAAAGCCAGTTTTCCCAGCACCATTTATTAAAGAGGTTATCTTTCTGCCAGTGAACGTGTTTGGCTCCTTTGTCAAACATAAAGTAGCTGAGTGTGTTTGAAGTTGTTTCTATGCCTTCTAATATATCCACAAACAGCCATTCCGACTGGAGTAGGCTAGAATCTCAGAATTTTGATTTGCAGAATTGTTTTTGATTTGTGTTTCTCAGATTTGTATCTTCTTAACCACTTAAAAGTCTACCCCATTCTCACCCTGGCAGCACACAATGCCTTTGTCTAAGTACTGACTATCCCCCAGTGAGCATCACTTGGGCAGGTGTCACTTCAACCAATAAATTCTTGCATTGAATAAATTTGATAAAATTATCATTTTTATATTTCCTGCTGTATTCTTATAAACTTCAACCAAAAATATCCAATTTCTGGTCATTCTGTGTTTAAATGGTTGGGCTGGCATTTGATTGGTTACTGGACTGAGACAAATTGTAGGGTTATAGAAGGTTCACCTGCTGCTTCTGTAAAATGGGTGAGTGCTATCACTTTGTCCTGAAGCCAAACAACAGATCAGGTTATACAAATAACATCAGATTTATCATTCTGTGATTACCCTCTTTAGAGCAACTAATGCAAATCCCTTTGGAGACTCAGATTCATGGAAATAAAAGGAGACTTCTGCAAGAATATATTGGTAAGAAAAAATTCACTTCCACAAAAATTCTCTCAACCAGTAAAACTAACACCATCATTCAAGGGCAGGTGCTGAAGGCAAGAACACTATGCAGGTAGTGTAGGCATAGCCTGGCCAGAAAGCAAGGTGATGACTGATCCCCTGCACATGAAAAGCCAACTCGCACATACCATACAGCAGCTGAGGCCCTGGAAAGACAAATAATTACTCTAAAATGGGTGGTGAGGATCACATTATCTCTCTGTATTTGGGAACCAAAACAAAACCCTTTCCTTGCCTTTAAGGCCCTGCATAGTGCAACCTCAGCCTCCCTGGGGACTCATTTTGAACTGTTCCCTTATTTTATCACTAGTTAACCCCAGCCATAGGGATCACTGTTAGGTCCTCCGCAAGTACTCCCACCACCACCCAGCCTCCCTAAATCCAGTCACCCTTTAGGCCTCAGCCCAGAACACTTCCACAGGGAATTCTCCTGATCCCCATTTTCATCCCTACTTAGCTGGATCCTGCCTATCATATACCTCTCTCAAGAGGAAAGACTATAATTCTGTAGGTCCTTCCTTCAAAATGTTTACAATTTATTTTTTGTCTGGATATTTGGCTTTCAATAGTGACCAGATAATGAGCACCATGAAAACAGAGCTAGGCTATACGCCCAACACCTAGCACTGGGATGACTGAGTAAATAAATGAAAGATTGTGGCATGGTTGGTTCATTTGCAACCATCTTTTAACCATTCTAATGATTCTAAACTGTATACCAGGTTGAGAACTATCCTATATCACATTTTATAAGCTATAAGTATAAAACAAGACTCAAGAATCAAATGATAGCAAATTCTGCAGAGCCTGTGCGGTAAAAGGAACATGCTTACATTGTTGGTGGGAACGTAAACAAGTACAACCACTATGAAGATTCCTCAAAAAATTAAAACTAGAAATTCCATTTGACCCAGCTATTCATTCCCCTTCTAAGTATCTCCCTGCAAGAGTTAAAGACACAATATTATGCAGTGATACATGCATACCTATGTTTACAGCCACACAACTCATAAAAGCTAACTCTTGAGAGTAGAAAATGTGGCATTTACAATTTTTCTGCCACAAAGAAAAATAAAATTGAGTCATTTATAGGAAAATTGGATCCGCCTTGAGAGCATGATCTTCAGTGAAATAAATCACACATAAGCTTAACTATCACATGGTTTCTCTTATATGAGAAACTCAAATTATAAATAAAGAGCAAAATAAAAGATAATAGAAGGTAGAGAGATAGCTCTTTTTCAGATGAGAAAGGGATTGAGATGGAGGAAGGGGAGGAAAGGGAGCTGAAAAAAGGAACTGGGATGTGCTAAGCACACGCACCTCCTCCATACAAAGAATGTAAACAGTATGTTCTTGGGAACATTGCTAATAAAAATTTTTTGAATTACAATAATAATATCTAGTGCTATAAGATAATCATTCCCAATAATTGCTGATAAGAGTAGAAATAAATTAAAACAAAACAATAACAACAACAACAACAAAAAACCTAAATAGCAAGAAGCAGCAAGGGTACAAGCACACCACCACCATCCACCTGTCTGATACGCACAAAGGTCAGGCAGATGCCGCCGTGTCTTCGTTACTATCTTGCCCCAGATGGAACCTGCTTGGGTAGTAACCCCAGTCTGGAAAGACTCATCCCGACTACTACTTCTCTCAGGGGTCCCTTCAATTCTGTCTGAGATTTGTACCCAGCTCAAACCATTTCGAACCTTCCCACTGGGATCTAGAGCTGTGGGTCATGTGTTTAAGGGCCCTGTGGAAATGTACAACCCTGACCTAGCTGACTCGGTAAGGCACTGTTTTATAAACTCACCACGCAGTTTCCTAGAAGAGACCTGTAAATCTTCTTTTCTCACACTTAGTAAATGTATAAAATATTTTTAATGCTCCAGATGAACTCTCCTGCTAAGAATCAATAATTTCACTATCAGGACTACTATACATGCTATGTTAATCTCCATACACGCTTCAAAAATAAAGAAATGTGTGGAATAAGAAATCAGTTTTATGAGGACCCAAATTCAGAAATCTCACAATCTGAAATATAACTGAACTTGAATCATAAGTAAGCCAAAAACAAAATCAGATTATTTCTTTTAAAGCCTGCCACAAAATCAAAGTATGTCCTTTAGCCAGATTTATAAGAGAGTCGCAGTCTCACTCAGAGTCTATTTAGACCTATCTTGTACCCAATGCTAACAAAATAAGGCCTGGTTTCTAAGGCTCTGGTGTAGTGGGCTCATCAGACATCCCAAGGTGGAAGCAGCTGTCAGTGAGCACCGCACACACAGTGATGCTGAAAGCTGACCTGACAAAAGCAACACCGAGAAAATGCACAACACACAGTAAAACACTGTCCATAAAAACTGATCAAATTAATTAAAGCCACTAAACGACACAAGATGTTTGGCAAACAGGGCCATCTGGCACATCAGTAAAGAGCTCTTTATTCCTTGCATGCCCTTTAAACTATCCTTGAATTACAGTGGACTGTTTACAGTCATTGTACTCACAATGATGCAGTCTGAGTATTGCAGAAAAGAAATAAGTCATGATTGATAAATTCTTTAAGGAGCCAGAATCATAGATTTTACAAAGTCTAAGACTTCAATATTTCAAGATATGATTTTCCAGGCTGATGAGATGTCACTCAGTGGTAATGTACTTGCCTAGAATACATGAGGCCCAGATTTGATCCCAGCACTATTTTTTTAAAAAGTAATTTCCCAAGCTCTGTGGCAAGTTGCCTTGCTGAAATGCCACACTCCCATACAAAAGTAAATAAATGTTATACTGTGTATCAATCAAGGAGATCAAATTTAAAATAAGCCAACTCCTCAGACTCTCCAAAGAAAATTAAATTTTATAACCAAAAGAGCATGAACATAGCTGGGCATGGTGATGGTGTCTGGCATCCCAGCACTCTGGGAATCTGACACAGGAAGATAACAAGTTTGAGACCAGCCTGGGCAATACAGTGACTTAATGAGAACTTGACAAAAAAAAAAAAAAAAAATGTGCTAAGGTCCTAGACTCTGTCTTGAGTCTCACCAAAAAAGAAAGGGAAGAGAAAGAAAGAGACAGACAGACAGAAAAGACAAGGAAAAAGTCGTAAGAGAAAAAGGCCTAATAAAGGCCTGATAAACTCTTTCGTTAATCAATAGGATGTGAACATGTATAAGACCAAAATATTTTTTTTTTTTGGTCTTTTTCTTTTTTATCGGTACCAGGGATTGAACTCACGACTGCCTACTTGCAAGGCAGACACTTATGCCGCTGAGCTAAATCCCCAGCCACAAGACCAAAATAAATATATAATTCTTTGGTGGTCCTTGAAATACTTGATTAACAAAACCAACATTTTTTTAAGTAAACTAAAAGTAAGGCTTCCTTTAAAAGTTTTTTTTTTAAGAAATAATGCATTCCACAATTCAGTGCAGCAAGCCCAAGTCAAATCCCAAAGCCAGAAAGGAATTTGAGATCAGCTGTCCCACCCACCTTCCCCAGGTTCTAAACAAATAAATATCTAAATCTTGCCTATTTTCTGCTTAAAAGATCATGAAAGACAAAAATCCTATTATTATGAACCCCTTTTTTTACTTCCTGTTTCTCATGCAACAAAGCAACAACAAACAGATAATTCCTCCTGAATTACGCATTTGTACTTAACGTGTCACCTTCTCTCAGGCCTCCAAGCCAGAAACTCTGAATTTATCTTCAAGTCCTTCTTTCTGCCCTCACCCAGCCGGTCTCAAATCTGGTCCATGCTTCTCAGCTTCTCCTCATATGGCTTTTCCGTTCCCACTGCTACATTCCAAACTCAGTCCTGTCAGGGCCTCCCTCATCCCCCCGCCTGGCTGCCAGTCACACATTCTTCACACATTCTCCATCGGACCCCAGATCTGTCCCTCTGTCATTTCCAAACAAGCACAACAGACTGACACCAAGGTCCCACACCCAGCTCCTCACCTGCGTCTGCTTTCCATTATACCTTTCAACATGACACCTCGCCTACTCGCGTCTTTGCTCAGGACCCTACCTGCAATCTATTCTTTCCTCTTTCCTCATAACTCACTCACTGGTTCATTCATTCAGCCTGAATTTCTTGGACACAATCTCTGCACCAAGCATTGTGCTAGCCAGAGGATATGATGATGAACAAAAACTGGTCATACTGGTCCTCACAGACATCATAAAAGGTCCTCTGCTTTTCACACACCCCTCCACAGCTAGTTCAAACATCACTCTCTGAAATCTTCAACACCTGAAGAGTAAGAACCTCTCCCTCTCTTGGACTGCTCACACACAGCTAAGCTTTTGTTACATGTTGCCCTTCCCTACATTTCAGCAACACCTTCTTCGGATGTGTCTATCTTCAAAGCAGTAGCACAGTGCTCAGTACTAAACCTATCCCAACGAAACAGCAGTTCTTATTTAGCAATTTTCAATCCCTTACAAGTTTCAAGTTCCACTATTCAAGTCCCATAAAAAATGTGTGGAGTCTTTTTTTTTTAAGTGTTTTGAGCTGCGGCTAAGACAAAATCATTTACTTTGGGCTTAGGAATGTGTTTATGAACTTACAAATGAGAACATCTGATGTCTTAGGAATCCACTTCAAACAAAACAATGAAGCTGCCCTGTAGCAACCTGGCACAGAAAATACTGCACTTGCATGCAGATAGCTCTCACTGGTTTCTCTTGCAGCCTACTAGAGAGTTGCTGGGGCTGCACACTCTGCATCCTGATGAAGACGAACCCTGTTAAGAAAAACGCCTCAACAGCAAAATTCCATTTTGCATGTTCTCCAGGTTTTACCTCAAGCAAACTGAAAAAAACTGCACAACAATTTACCATCAGAAAGATTAGAGACTGACTTCCTATTGTGACTGCCTGAGGAGTCAAAGCAACTAAATAAACTGAGGAAGTAAAATCCGACTCCAGTGGGTCACCAAAGAAAGAATCACTGTGACTACATACAGATTATCTACTGTCTCAAAAGGAAATATAATTCCAACTGTATGCATAGGTGCATACTCATACCTGTGCGCACACCCGAAACTTGTAGTTTTGAAAAGGAAGAATGAACAATACTGACTTTTTTTTTGGCAAGGCTAGGATGGAAGGAAAAGAAAATATAAACCTAGCATCATTTAAAAGCTAAGTAGTTTTCTAGGGATTTCACAGAATTCTATGCAAAAATCATTCTCAAGTTACACCAGTTAAGTAGCAAGAACATACCACCAGACAGCCTACAAAAGCATTTTTATGAACTTATAAAAACTGGGCTTCCTTTGTTTTCATGTGTCCTCCTTAAATACAGTAATAATTAACTCAACTTCTTTCCTCTCTTTCTTTATAGTAGTGCACTGAAAGGAGAAAGGCAAAATTACATATACAAAAGAGAGACTGCACACAAAGCACTTTTAATTACCACCACACATCACATGATTTGGACATTTCTCGTTAAAACTGTCACCAGGGATAAAGCCTGCCAGGAATGGGCAAAGCTATGCCACACCTTTCCCACATTCAAGAAAGGACAACCAGGAACTCGCTGGAAGCCTGTGGACTCCAGAGAAGTCAGCCTGTGGCTTGAATTTTAGCTCTGCATATACTAGCTCAGTGATCTCAGACTATTTCTCTGGGTCTCACTTTTCTCATCTATAAATGGCAATAATAATAGCACATGGTGAATTTGTCCTGAATTTAACTAAATCTCCTCTCCTGTCCATATCATACCGTTTTATAATAAGAGCTAAATCACCCTAAGGCCCCATAAGACCATGTGTGTGTGTATTTTATTAGCTTCATGGCACACAACTTCCCATCAAACTATATGACTTGCTACATATTAAATTTGAAATAAAAGCTGAAAACTAAAAGTGTTTCTTCTCACTTGTATCTAACCTAAATATTTGTTCACCGAAGTATTTCTAGGTAAGTTGAGTTTTCCTATACCTCAAAGATGTCCTATGTTCACATTTTGACTCAAATCTATGTGACAAATTATTCTTCTAAAATTTCCTTGTTACATTAATCAGGGTATTTTTATAAAGTTTAAATTAAAAAATTGATAATTTAAATCTTCCATTTAGCTAACTGGTCCTCACTAGAGGCTGCTCATCCCTACCATGCTAAAACACTGGGTGAAATTTCTTCAAAAACTGCTTAAAATCTAGTTCCTAGTGCATTCCTGTAAAGAGATCTCTGCTACTTTTTCAATGCCTTCCCTTTGCAAATCCCAGGAAAGAAAAAATGAAAAGAATAAGACTGAAAAGACCCTATGCCAGTGGTGGCGAACCTATGGCACTACCAATTTAGTACTCTAAAGATTTCCCTATGCACCGTCCTTCACAACTAACCAGCTTTCCATGCCATTAACACCAAACCTACACCCATAATCCCTATTAGAAGGAACACACAAAGGCCATACAATCAACATAGGTAATGTTATTAATCCTGAGCCAAAAATCATGAGTAAGGTATTATTAGGAACCCTTAATAGTGGAATTTAGGGCACAGTTACAGTTACAAAGAACTAGCCTTTCTGAAGAGCTGTGCATTCTCTGTAGCTTCATCAAACACAGATAAATCTTCCTTGAAAGGTTGCCTGTTGATGGGGCTATGTTTGTACCACAAGCATGTTAGCCAATATGCATGCAGGATGGCGAAAATTTTAGAGCTTTCAATAATAGCAAACAACCCACTGCAGCACACACGCCACACACTGGCCACCATGGTCCTATACTCTGTTTTCTGAACTGAGAAATTGTGACCTAAGGACCAAGTATGATTTCTTATTATCTACGTTTTATTAAAACTATTCAAGCTATAGTGATGAGATAAATTCTGTTGTCAAGTCAAGAAGTAAATTCAAACCCTCATTCTAATGCCTTCACCCCATGTGGTGACTGTTAATATTCTCCACTGGCTTCTCACAAGGTTGTCATTTTAATTACAGAATTCTATCATCCTTTCATAACTAAGTAAACATCTGCACAAAACACTGCTGTGTCCAGAAGATCTGCAGCTTAATATTTAAAGAGTCCACTTAATAGTTTCTAAGGTGATAATTTAGCTAGAGAGGCAGTAGTTCATTGAAACAGTCATCAAATAATTACACCATATCTAGGGCTATAGATGCCCTATGTGATAATGTATGTAAATATACCCGGTTCCTTAGAGACAACACCTTATGATGTGTCAAGGTCTTTCTCCTCACAGGGCATTCTCCAGATAGAATCCAAGGTACCACACGTCGTCCTCGAGACTGTGCAGTCTCTCTCTGAATACATATCCCAGCGTACAGCCCGCAGGGTCGGGGGAACCTCACTGCTTCTGCCCTCTCCCGCCCTCCCTCTCTCCCCTTCAGTGTTTCTCCACCTGTTTAGTTACTTATTTCTTCTCTTTCCCTTGCTTCTCTCAGTCTAGCCCTACCTGTAAGATACACACCGACCTATCTTCCTCCCCGGAAACTGTTACCATTCTTACGGCTTTATTATCTCCTTGGGAAACTCTCAAATTTAAGAACTCTAAATTTATGTGATAGTCAACAGTGGTGTGAATATCCCTTGATTTTTTTTTCCACCCTGTTATTGGGGATAGAAGCCGGGCTTTCGCACTGACTCTTTTATTTTTTATTTTGCCAAGCCTCTAAGGCGAGGCTGGAGCCTGTGATCCTCCTACCTGGACTACAGTCACTGCCACCATGCCAGACTTGCTTGAAATTTCTTAAATTCAATCTGGCCAAGATGGAAGTTTAATCTCCCCACCAAAGCCAACTCTGCCCTACTTCCTTGTTCCTGACAGCCACAGGCTCACAGCCCAGGCTACCTTAAAAACCTCTTTGGCTCTTTTTCCTCAGCATCCCACCATCTCACTCACCAGATCTACTGCCATGTCATGTGGATTCAGAGCCCTTCTTTCCCATCATCCTAATCTAGGTACCTGTTTCTTGCCCCCTAGACATTCTAGAACTTTCTATGTAGGTGCTTTCCTCCTTCTTTAATCTGCCTTGAATGATGCCACTATGCTAATTTTTGGAATAAGGACATATGTCCTCTGGAACCAGATGGCTTAGTTTCATCCAGCTCTATTACTTATTTCTGTGACCTTGGGCAAGTTACCTAACCTCTCTTTCTCTTATTTTATCATTGCACAACACAATGACAATCGTGCCTGCCTCACAGCATTGTTGTGAAAACAAAATGAATAGGTGGAACACCTAGAAGAGCATCTGGCACACCTTTAAATGCTCAGTAAGTGTTTGCCATTGTTCCCAAGTAGCCTAAATTTAGTCACACCGTACAGGCCCAGAACTCTTACACTGCCCCATACGTAGAACACCAAGGAAACTCCAGGTTCCTCACCCTGGCAATCAGTCTGTCCCAGATGGCCTCTCAGGTTCATATTCCACATCTCCCCCATGTGACCTCTATACACATTAGGCAAAGTGGAGGACTTACTCTTTCCTCCACCGATATCCTGATCCTCCCTCCTCATTCTTACTGCTCTCTCTCTCTTTCCTCTCACATCTCTGCTGGATAAAACGACATCCAACTTCCAAGCCACAAAGCCTTCTCTGAATCCTCCCACCAGACCCACCATGTGTGAGTCCCTCTCAGCGCAGGGACTGTTTCTCTCAGGACAGTTTTCTTTCCTGTACCTGCAGGTGCAGTCCTGAGATTCTCTGGGCTGCTTGGCAGCTCCTAACCTCTGCATTATCATCATTTTAGTCCTGTACCATCCAGCATGGAGTGATGCATGAGGCAGCAAAAGAGATGGGATGATGAGAACTACAGCCCCTGCTGTGGCATAGGAGGTTGAGTCCAAACCAAAAGAAGCACACACCACCCTGGATGAATCCTCATGATGGTTTCAAATGACATCCAAACTCAAAAGATGAATTGAATAGCCTCTAGAGCAACCTACCCCCCTTACTACACACCAGAAATACAGTGGAATAAAAACAAAAAGCATATGATTTGTAGCCAGCCCTATGCTAAAATACCAACAGTAAAACTTCACAAAAAATTTTTTCTCACAAGTCAATATTAGAATCAAAACACCATTGTACACTGTGTTTAGTTGGCAGAATGTAATTTTCTGTTAGATCTGCTACCTAGCAATCCCAAGAGAAGTGACTCAGACCTCAATGACGAGCTCAATCAATGGCATATTAATAATCGCTGGTACCTCAGTCACTGCAGAATGGAACCCGAAGGCATATACAATCTCTCTACTTCAGACTCTCGCAAGAGATCCCTGAACCCTAAACTCACAAAAGGAAAGCCACAACAATACACATTGCTAACAATAGAGTGACTGCTCAATAAACACTGCTGGCAGTGACATCATCCAGGTACACAGGGTCAGGCTGTGCACAAGTCCTTTCTGTCTAGGAGCAGAGCTGTAACTTGACACCAAGGATTCAGACCTCTTTGCCTCAGCAGCTCTGGGCACTGATGAGCAGCAGCAGCAAAGGGCTCTTTCATTCCCACTCTCACTTCAGCCATTCAAGAAGCACAGATCCCAGCACCATGAAGAGAAACGTCCTGAAGACTTCAGTTTCAAGAACCCCTATGGTGACGTGATGATTAAACATTGTTTTTCCTCAAATAAAAAGTACACCCTTTAAAGGTCCCAGAAGGG